CAACTAACTATATCATTTTCTAAATTGATCTTCCTGCACTTTCTATTTGTCCTTTATAACCCAATAATATTAATGTATTACCTTAGTGACCATAGAACGAAAATTAACCCTTTACACATATAGAGTGAAAGCAATTACACTTATAATGCATTGTCATGGACAAATCTTTCTTTATCCCGAGAATAAGCATAATGCATTAAGAGATTCAACCAAACTATACAAACAATTTAGCATATTTACAAACATGCCTAGGAGTTGGAAAGCAATTTACATGCTAAGGTAAAAACATATACGAAGATGGAAGGGGGAAATCCAATTAGTTTATGACTGAAATAGCTGCAGATTTTGATAAAATACAGGACCGCCTTCTTTGTCGCCTTCACCGGTTTTTTCTCTGCTCTCTAAATTGTTACATCGATGCTTCCATTACCATCTCCTCATTCAATTCGATTGTACTTCCACCAGTGAAGTTACCATTGAAACACTCACACTTCTTACGATTTGTAAGTGTTGTAGTTGTGTCTCCTTACTTTTCAATATGAATAAATTTTGATTAGAAGTTAGAATTTGGTTAGAGAAATTTGATAAGGTTCTATAGTAATTTATAGTGATTTATGAAAGATGAATAGTTGTAACGTTTTTCTTATTAGTGTATAATGTCAAGACTTAGTGGGGGGATGTTATAATAGTAATTCATGGAAGATGGATAGTTGTAACGTTTTTCATTATTAGTGTGTAATGTCAAGACTTAGTGGGGGAATGTTATTAGTGGGTGGTTAAATAAAAATTTGATGCTAATAAATGGGGAGACTATAAAAAATTAAGTATGTATATATCTTAATGTATGCATGTATGGTTGTATGGATGTGCTAGAGATGTATGCATGTATGTGTTTCGAAGGGTATTTTTGGAAGAAATGTTTTAACATGGCAACACACTTTTATAATAGTATTAGATAAGTCACTAAGAGATAGTGGGGTGATGTCCACATATTTTAAATTAACCTTTAAGATGAGCCTCACCACATAGCTATCTTTTAATAGTTCATTTAGCAATATGAGCTACCACCTCATACCCATTATTTCCTATATAAAAATACTAGTATGTCATACGTGCATTGCACGTGATGCATGACACAACTATAGATTAACATATGCTATTAAATTAGTTTTTAATGTTAAATTTATAATTTAAATAATAAGTTTTAAGGGTTATCTCAAAACATCAAAGCTTTAGGGATCCACTCCAATATAGTATCACCATAAGTTTCCTATAAAGAAAATAACTACCAAAGAGATTGAATATCTTTATAAACCAAACTCTGCAGTTTTTACATAGTGATTTGCTTTAGATTATAAATTTAAGGATATTTTAACATTATCTAATTTCTTATATTGGTAAATTGAGCGCACATCATTTTCATTTAACCCCCAATATCTTGTAATTAAACTTTCGTATGGACTCTTCATCTCTTCAAATAATTTGATTATCCATCCTCCTATATATTTTTTCTAGAAGTTATTGATCTTTAGTGCTTATTTTCTCCTTTCATGGGAGTCCAAATCAAAATAGTTAGCTACTGCATTAGCACACTGTACATAATTTGTACAACATTAGGAACATTTGTATGGTATAACTACAAGTAAATTCTCTATTATTCTAAACAAAGAGCATGAAGAACTTATTGGATAAACATTTCTCATACTTAACTTAGTCAAGATGAAAATGTGTTTTTCTACATGCATAAAGAAGCCTCTGCATAATATAGGCTTGGTTAGTTGCTCTAAAACATTATCCTTCATCATATTATTGCATATGTCTAACTATATTTTTGAGTTGAATAGTAATTATGTAAACAAAATTAAGAATAAGTGTTTAACCCAAAATACAATTTCATGAGAATCCAAAAGTTCTCACAAGATAACTAACATGATAATTAGTGCTTAACCAAAAATATAATTTCAAGGGAACCTAATAGTCATTAGAACCACACAAACTTTAATACTTATAGTCATTGGAGATTATTAAAATTGAGTAGGTATAAAAGGAAATCAAAAGTCTTAATATAGCAATCCTCTTTTATAGTAGTAGTATAGTATAGATATAGATATTGATGTAGATGTAGGAGATTAGTATAAATTATATTTTCACCGACACAAAAAAGCAAGAGTTCTTAGGCAAATAAGTTGAGATCGATCAATTCGATTATTTTGGTTTTAAAGTTTTCAAAATCAAACCGAAGTTTTTTTTAAAAACCTAACCAAACAGCTAAATTCGGTCAGTTCGATCAATTTAGTTGGTTATGACCGAATAATGCTCAACCCTAAGTAGAGATGTTTTAGAGGTTGGGGGGGGGGGGGGGTCAAGTAGAACTCAAAACTAGAACTATGATAATTTGTAAGATAATTTTTTATAGTGTTAGTCAACTAAAACTAGAACTATAACAAAAAAATTACGATGTCAGTTAACTAGAACGGTTTAAAAAAACTAAAAATAGGATAATTAGGCGAAATTATCCCACTTCTTTTTATTTCTTAGGAAAAAAAGAAAGTTATTGTCTCTCAAAATTATCTCAAATTTTAGCTTGAAACTAAATAGTAAAAAAGAACTCTCTAATTTATTTTCTTATTTTTTATTTTTTATATGACTTTTTTTCTTCATACTTTTTCCTCTAACAATCACCATCATTAGGCCATAATGTCATCATATTAGATTGTGTCTCCTCGTACTAATTTCTTTGCATGATATTTTCTTTTTTCCCAAATACTATAATTATATAATTAATTTAAAAGTAAAGACGTTATTAATACTTAATTTATTAAAAATATATAATTGAGAGATAACAGAAAGAGATCTTGAGGAGTAAAAAAGTGAGAAAAATCTGGAATACTATTTTTTTAGATTTATACTACAATAATAATTTAAAAAGCTATAATATATATTATAATAATAATTAAAAATATATTATAATCTAACAAAAAAATTATTTAATAGTACTTAACATTTTAGTAAATATTTATTAATCAATAATAGTAAGTTTAAAATATATAAATAGTATTAATATCGTCAAAACACATAAGATATATACTTTATGATTATCAAAAATTATCCCACGTCATTTTATCAAGATATCCTACTTCACAAAATTATTTCTAATTATCCCTATAAAATATCCATCTCACTTTAACAATTATTCCAATTATCATACTCCCTTAAAAGCACATGTTCGGAAAAATCTTTCTATTGTCAATATTACCCTTCACTATTTTAAATAGTTCATTTATATCTTAACCTATCCTAATCATAATTATATCATATCCTCATCCTACGTGAATTATCTATAGCTTCAATTTAAAAAATAAGATTAATAAAATATATAAAACATATTTATGGTATTAGTTTGTTAAGATAAAGAAATTATATGTAGCTAACATACTATAATATATAAAGTATTGCAAAAAAACTCTAAAAAGTTTTAAATTGCACAAAATTCCCTAAAAAGTTTAAAATTATAAAAACAATCACTACGTCTCAAAACTAAAAACAACAAACATGAAATCAAGAAATTAACAGCAGTTTGCAAAGAATTTAAATGTCGTTAACACCTTAATGTCTCAAAAATTATAGAAACATATCAAAAGTTCAAATTACAAACAAGCACCCTGAAATTCTAAAATTTTAAAACTTACAAACAACATAGATGAATTCAAGGGATTACCATGATGCACATAAAATTTTTTAACATTTCAAAACTTAAAACAACAAATATGAAATCAAGAAATTAACAGCAGCCTCCGAAGAATTTAAAAATTTTAATTAACACCCTCAGTGTCTCAAAATTTATAGAAATACCCTCAAAAGTTTAATTATAAAAAATCACCCTAAAATTATAAAAATTTAAGCAGGCCGAAATTAACGTCAAAGTTACAAAAATTGTAAAAAAAACTCCTTCAAAATTTAAAAATCATAAAAAACTCTTAAATTTTAAAATTTATAACCAGTATACATCAAATTTGAAAACTATTAGTAGACCGCTAAAATTTAAAATTTTAAAAAATTAATCTATAGTTTTAATAATTGTAAAAAGCACCCTCAATATTTTTGAGTTGCAAGGAATGTCCTAAAATTTAAAAATTACTATAGACACATGAAACATAAAAGTTACAACTGCCAAACTTAAAGTTTTAGAAACACTCCTAAAATTTTAAAAATTACAAATCACATCCGCATAGTTCAAAACCACAAAAAAGGACTGAAATTTTAAAACTTAGCAAAGAAAAGTGTAATTATTTGGTATTCTTTCATTTATATATATATATATATATATATATACCTTATAATATATATAATTATATAAATATAATATAGATATTACTCACCTAATATATAGTATATATATACACTATATATATATATACTGATATAGATCATTTATTTTTTAATGTTGTTTGATCTCAAGTTTTCATTTTTATACAAGAATTATTCGTTATCAGCATAGCAACTTGAAGACCGTCAAATGAGATTTGCGCAATTGGGAAAATGATGCTAACTAATATTGTATGCCGTGCAAAGTATAACAATACTATTCCAACCAACTCACACATAATGCGCCTAATTAATTAAACAATATCATAATTATAAGTCAATATAACAAAAATCACTCACAAACGTTTACATATACACTAACACAATATTACTGTACTGCATACTGCCACGCTTATCAACTTCGGAGCATCTCAAGCAAGGGGTGGTTACTTTTAGAACAAAAATATCGACATCACACTAAATTCATCTCTAAGCTGCCAGCTTATCGTCCACTTAGAATGACGCATCCCACTTTGATTACCGTAAACATCCCACTACACTAAATATTGCCACAACATACACCTCTCTTCTAACACACTCACCGTTCGTTGTTATAACAAACGACTAACACCAGCGTCTCTCTCTCCCTCTTCAGATATCCGTCTCTATTTTCATCCATCTTCTAGCTGCACTGTGCGCCTACGACCCTCCCGAACGACACGCCGCTGACGATCTCGTTCGATCTCGTTGTCGCCTCCGAACGCCCAACCCCATGAATCGCGTTAGATCTCAATCTCGTTGTCGCCTACGCCGACGACCGCCATGACACCGCTGAAAATTCCCCCCGATATTGAGTTGGAAACCGTGAACGAGGCTTAGCTGGAATCGGATCTGTGATAAGGGGGAGCTTGATGTCGTCGAGGCGTCGAAGTTGAAGGGCGCGGAGGCTCGCCGATGGTTTGCGAGGCAGCTTATGTTGCCGGAGTGGATGATTGATGTTCCTCCTAACCTTGATTCTGATTGGTGAGTTTCTAAAACCCTTGTTCTTTCAAAAAAAAAAGATTTTTCACTCTGTTGATTCTTTAAAAATTGGTACTTTGGCTTTAAATTGGAGCAAATGAGCCCTTAACTGTGCACATTCAGTTTTTCGACAGTAAATCGTCAAAAAGCTCGAAAACACTTCATAAATTAAATTAAATTCGTTAAAAGTAAGGTTCATAACTAATAAGTTTAGACAAAGTTAAAGTTTTTGGGTGAGAGACTAACGGTGCAACCGAGAGTCTGCCAAACTTGTGATTTTCGTAATCCTCAGCGAAAACATAGAGTCCCTGCGACTTACTTTTGTGTGTGTTGGGTTTTGGGTAGTGTCACTAGCATTTTATTTCTTCTGATTTGTTTCCTTTCACCTGTTATCGCGACAAATCCCAATATTTTTGGTTGTTTGGTTCTAGTGTTTTAATGAACATTCCAAGAAATTGCTTTCAGTTATTGGGATATACTGATGGAACTTATCTCCTAACTTTATATTAGTATAAATGAAAACGGTTAGTTGTTTTTCTTTTAATCTCATCCCTTTTTGTTCAACCAATAAAGTTTTTTTTTCTTTTAGGGGCTGTTTGGTTCGCTATTATATGGGGTGGAAAACTTAGAAAACCCCTCCACGTCAGATTTTTAGTCATCCACGTCAGCTTTTTTGTTTCCGTCCATTTCTTTGTGCCGCTTTGGTTCGCTCGAATGGAAGAGGGAAAACTCTGCTGAAATCGCCGCCAACTAAGATTTTTTTCCCTCTCCGATTTCCTTCCCCAACCAAGTGAAATTGATGAAAACTCTGCCACGTCAGATTTTTTTCCTTCTCTGCTTTGTTTACAAAAGTTTTCCTTTTTTTTCTATGCGAACCAAACACAAGAAAAATAAATACATTGATTTCCCATAATTTTTTATGTGCAGCAAAACAATCTATTTCTTGGAAAAGTTTGGAAAACTCAAAACTTGTGTTTCTTTACATGGAATTGCATTTCTCTATATCAAGGAAACGAACCAAACAGCCCCTTAATCTCATCCCTTTTTGTTCAACCAATAATCGTAGAGAAACTGTTTGTAAATTAGAGGTTATTCATCCTTTTATGTGCTTCTCATTGTTGAGTTTTTATGTTGGGTTCTATTTGCATTTCACATATGAACATTAAAATGATATTATTTTGACGTTTCTTTGACAAGAGAGTCTAAATTTGTTACCTTTTATATGATAATCAGGTTGTGTTGGAGTTGCAAGATGACGGGAAATTGGCTACCTCAGATTATCCTCCTGTAGTGCTCGGTTGCACCGATGCTAGAAATGGTGAGTAACTACCACTGTGTTTCATTTATGAAACAGCCCAAAAGTATAGAAGTAAATGTCACACGTTACACGTTACAAGATTCTTAATGGCCGAGAAAATGATGAAAACTTGTTCGAGTATATCTGTTCTCCTAAGACCGCCACTATCAATTTCACAGGTGTATCTAATACCCTTTATGCACTAATTTTGAACAATTCCCTGGTAACTCTAGGATTTCCTTCCTACTATTAAATCTATAATTTGCACTTTTCGGTATATTGGTAGATGTCAAATAAGGCACGGTGGTCAGTTATGCAATCGTACAATCGCCTCAAGTATCACAAGCGCGCGCACAGAGCTGCAGTTAAAGCTTTGGAGAGCAGACACAGCCTTGGCGTTGTCATCAGAAGGATAGAAGAAGCCATGTCCTCCCATAGCTGACAGCATAAATTTCAAGTTATTTCAAAAGGTTCTATACACAATTATTCTATAATTACTTGGTTTGCTACATTTATTTAAGGAATAAGCTCTAGCGTTTTCACTTTCTTAGGATGAAGGGAGTTGGAGCAATAGCTGCAAATTGTCTTGGTTCAGGCCTGATCCAAATAAGATGTAAACCCAAGTCGGTAAAATTGACAGTGATCGAATTGGGTTTATCAGGTCGTCCTATATCTTATGCGGTTACTGTGATAATCGTGCAGGAATTTGACAACATGTTGACATTCTTTTTCCGTTCATGCCAATGAATAAGGCATCAACTCTGCTTGGTACAAGAGTTTTCAGGTTCGAACGGAGCATGAAAGCAAAGGCCTTTTGTTTTGCCAAGGAAAATATGTTTTCTCGAGTCCTAGTGCAGACAATAGCGAGAAAAATGAGACTGTATATAGAATGATGTACAGGGTTCACAAGTTAAAGTTGAGTAGAAACTCCGATGACGGGTTTCATGTTGCTGTATATATTTTCACAATTCAAGTACTTATGTATTCACTTTGTATATGCTTAATAGAATCATCTGATAAGACTTTGCTATTCTTTTTTCAGCAATTTCTCAGCATATGTGGCATGTTCAAGGCTTATATGATCTCAAAATTATTTCAGTGATGCTGACCTCTTATCTCTCAACCATCAATTAGCTTTTTTAGACAAATTGCTTCACTTATACGTTGTGTTTGGTTGAATAATTGATAGCTGTATGTCCTACCAACGCTATTGAACTGTCACCAAGAAACTTTGAAATGAAAAGCAAAACATCCTTATTAACAAATCTCATAGATATAACATTGAGATAAATTGCAAAGTTACAAGAATTCCTTGAAGCGTCAAACATAAACTAGAAACTCATGGAAAGACTGATTATTTTCGATTTCTAAACATGCATCAAATGAACACCAGGATGAAGTAAACTAACAAATTTTCTACCCTTGTATTCCCCCCCTCAATTTTCAAGACAATGTTCTCAACCAAGTACTACTAAGTATTCCTCGTGTTTTGCATCCTCTGCTTCGCAAAATTTCATTTATTGATCAGCATCCATCAAAGATTATAACTCCCCTGAGTTGCTCATCTTGACCTTGCAGGTATTGTAAACATCTGTTACAATAACAAGGGGGGATAGCAAGGAATCAAACCAAACTCTCCATGTTCCATAACTAAAATTGCAACAACAGGAAAATTGCAAGGACTGTACATTCCAAGAAATAAAAAGAAACCGGTTTACAATTTGAAAAGGAAAATGTGCTGTCTGCACAAATATACCTAGTCCTTATTTTCCACAAATCAAATTACTTGGTAATCAGATGATAATTTTAGAAAACGAAAACAGATACAATGAGTAAAACAAATACATTGCTCTTTTTCCCCCTTCAAAAGAATAGACAGTCTCATCTAATTAACCGATAAAAAGAACATAAAAGTAACATTTCAAAATTTGATACCATCACCCAGTAGCAGTATCCACCCCCCTGAGGCCATGCTAACTCATTGATTCGATTTAATCTGCTAACATTGACAGGAACGACCCAACGAACCTCAATTGAAATCCTTGAGCCACTTCTTCAACATGTCCATCGACTTCTTCCGAGCATTAATTCGTCTTTGCATTCCGATTCGAGAGACTCCCAAACAGTCTGTCCGGTGAATCCCTGAACTTCTCGCAGATGCTCGCGACCTTCTTGTAGTCCAGGGCGCCGTAGTTCTTCTGCCTTATCACGGGATTCATGAAATTCTCCGGCTGGTTGCTCGGCAGAAGGTTGATCAGCTGCCGCGACTCCCTCAGGCAATCCTTGAAGCCCCTATTCTTCTTCAGATCGCTCAGCCCCGTACTTCGAAAGCTCTCCTCCGCGAAAGCTTCCAGCTTCTTCAAGTCACTGTCCACGCCAGTGACCGCGCTGAGGGTGAACCTCTTCACATCTTCACTCAGGAAAGCCGCGACGATGGAATCAGAGATGTGGTCAAGGGCGCCGGTGACGAGCTTATACAGAGCCTCCAGGGGGAAAATCTGCTGAGCAGAAGACAGCAGGGTGTCGAGGTTGTTCGTAGGCGATGTCGAGGTTGTTCGGCGGAGGTCTGTCGTGGCGGCCGTCGACGTAGGTGACAACGAGATCGAGAGAGGGTCGCGATTCACGGGGTTCGCAGGTGTCGTGGCGGTTCCGTGACGACGACAGAGAGAGAGAGATCGAGAGAGGAGAGAAGGTTGTGGGGGGGAGCGGAGATTGGGGATCTGGGATTTAGGGTCACGGGGCTTCGTGACGGAGAGAAAGAGTTATAAAAAATGGCTGGCCTTTTTCAAAAAAACCCCTTCTTAGTCATAGCTGGAGCGGATGCGTACGCACCTATGCGTACCTGAACGTGCTATATATATATATATATAGCACTGCTTCGTACGCAGTCTGGATTTTTTTGCAAAAAAACAAATCAAACAGCAGCGAAATTAAATGCGATCACACCAAGTCCTCGTGACCTATCTTTCAGCCTCTCTCTCTCTCTCGCTCTCAAAAAAAAAAAAACCCCAAGTCAGAGCTCCAATTCCAGACCTCTGCGAACTCGATCGAGCTCGACAACTCCGCTCCCTCCCAACGTCGACCCCGAGTTCCCTCCTCCTTCCTCCTCTGTCAACTCACCCCTCCCCCCAAATCAACAGCCACAAAAATCGGAGCCCCCAAAATCGTCGACGGGCATTTTTGCAATTGTCCCCAACCCTCAAGAAAAAAGCCCCAAATCAAGCCTAATTTCTACCGCCGACGAACGTCCAACCTCCGATCCGCCGCCCGAAGCTCGCCGAAGCTCGCCACCATCGACTTCCCCTCGCCCCCACTCAGCATCGCCGCCGGATCATCACCTCGACCTTCCTGCTTTCACCGCCCGAAATCCGACTTCGGAGCTCGCCGCCCCCGCTCAGACTCGCCGTCGAAGCTCAGGTCTCCGCTCGCATCGCGTCGAGCTCAGGTCTCCGCCCCCACTCAATGAGTAATGATGTAACACTCTATTTATTATGTTCCCTAATGTTAGAGGGTAAAAAGTGGGTTTTATGCAAGTATGAGTACTCTGAGGAAACAGAGAATTCTGCTAACTTTTTATCTGAAAATTAAAAAAAATGTAGACCGAAGATAGAGAAAGCAGTTCCGTGTCTAGTTGTATATAAGAATATTCAACCAAAAAGCCCTGAACTTTGTGTCCTGCTAAAAAACTCCCTGGACTTATAAATTAGGCAAAGCCTCCTAAACTTTGCAGGTGTCTAGATATATAATCCATTTCATTTTCCTTAAACTCTTTTCCATATGATGCATTTAGTATATATGTTCCTTTTCAAATTTGGGCCATATTCTTCATTAGTATATATGTGTCCTTTTCAATTTTTTTACTTATTTCAAAAAAATTCTTATAGAAAAGTAATGATGACATTTACTGTCAAAAATATCTGAAGTGCTTGAGTCATACACCCATTTCATCTACTTTCAGAGGTCTTCATCCAAGTAAATCAGCTGGATTTCTTCCCAACGTAAGTTCTTGTTTTGTTAACTTTTGTAAATATAACACACATATTCATCAATTAGTGGCTAATTGTGCATGCATAAACATACATAGGCATGTTTATGTACATATGTTGCTATCTTTTATTGGACTACCCGAATGTTAACTATCTGGATATATATTCTAAAGAAAACCCAAGGACTGATTTATTTCTCAAAGGAATTTCATATTTCCATGGCCCTGCACTGATCTAGGCGTGAAATCAAAAGTGACAGCATAACTAATGAACCATCTTAGCAATCTTTATGCTTCCTGATTTAACATGGAAACGCTTCTAATGTCACATTGCAAGAAAGTTATTCTGCGGTTTATAGACATTGAAGCAATCAGTGTATCGTAACTGCTGTAGTCATTTCATTTCAATGGTTTTTACAGGTGTGATTAAAGACGTCCATTGACAATATCCCAAGCTATAGAGCCTGTAGAGAAGGTGCACAAAGATACAAGAGACCTTCATCTATCTATGGATCAGACAAGGAGGACGAAGACTGTAAGGTTAAGGTCGAAGAGCAGGTCACAGAGAAAGCGGAGATGGCAAGTTGAAGTAATTAGTTCGGAGAAGTAATTGCTGAATCCAGTGCATTAAGCTGGAAGTTTAGGTAGAATGGAAGTATCAGCAAAGGTTTGTTTTGAGAGTCAGAATGTTCGAAGAGGACAGTTACAGCAGGAAATCTCATGTTTTTAGCTTACTTTGTTTAGGCTTGTGGTACAGTTTGTGATAGTGATTTTATTTCTTCAGGATCTTGATTGTTTGAGTGGTGTTGATTGCAACGGATGGAAAGGATTTAGTTGTTGCGTTGTTTTGCTTGTAAGGTGGGTATTGGCCCCATATATAATGTAATGTGTGTCGAAGTCTTTTTGTAAACTATTTGACTCATGATTTACACGTATATATATATATATATAGCACTGCTTCGTACGCAGTCTGGATTTTTTTGCAAAAAAACAAATCAACAGCAGCGAAATTAAATGCGATCACACCAAGTCCTCGTGACCTATCTTTCAGCCTCTCTCTCTCTCTCGCTCTCAAAAAAAAAAAACCCCAAGTCAGAGCTCCCAATTCCAGACCTCTGGCAACTCCGATCGAGCTCGACCAACTCCGCCTCCCTCCCAACGTCGGACCCCGAGTTCCCTCCCTCCCTTCCTCCTCTGTCAACGTCACCCCTCCCCCCAAATCAACAGCAGCCCCAAAATCGGAGCTCCCCCAAAATCGTCGACGGCATTTTTGCAATTGTCCCGAACCCTCAAAAAAAAGCCCCAAATCAAGCCTAATTTCTACCGCCGACGAACGTCCAACCTCCGATCGCCGCCCGAAGCTCGCCACCATCGACATCCCCTCGCCCCCACTCAGCATCGCCGCCGGATCATCACCTCGACCTCCTCCTTTCCACCGCCCGAAATCGCCGACTTCGGAGCTCGCCGCCCCCGCTCAGACTCGCCTTCGAGCTCAGGTCTCCGCTCGCATCGCCTCGACCTCCTCCTTTCCACCTCCACCTCTCATGCTTTATTTTAACATGCTTAACTTCAAGTTCCAGCTACCTGTAAGTAGATAATAAATCAAAGAAATGAAATCTTAAGGACTGAACAGGAACTGACTAGTCTTTTTACCAACAAAGTGTGCATCTGATAAATTACTCTGTACACAGCATTTGTTATGCGAAACTGTGAGGCTTGAGATCTTGCATCATCCCCATAATGCTAAATTATTATCATAATCTTGTGTAAAACTGCATATAGAATGCACGATGAGTGGGGGAAATTTTATCTGTCATCAGCCTTAAAAAAATAAAATAATATGAAATTAGCGAAGCATTTCCCATGAAAGAAATTTTGAAACCGACCCGCTATCCAATCTTATATTACTAATGATTAATTGTAAACTTAAAATATAATGTATGCCTATTTCTGTTGATCCTGTATACCGTAAATGATTTTCTGGTACTATCTTATTGCAGGTTCGAAAACTTGAGTTTCTCATAGCTTTCTTGGTTGCTGTAATGGCTGTTTGTTTTCAGAAATTGAGCTTGGTTACTCCAAGCCCAAAGCCTCAATTGATGCTGAAGGGACTATTCAATGTGCGCTCATATCAAATTCATTGAGCATGGCTAGCCTGAAAGAACATATTGATCTGTATCCTCATGACTTGCTTCATGGGTGATCTTATGGCTGAACTTAGTGTATGTTTCTTCTTTGTGAATTAAAGACATGAAGCAAGTAGTTATGTATATCTCGCACATTGTTCATGGCCGTGTTGTTTTGCTTGTGTTGTTTTGCAGGACCAAATGTTGTAACCGAAACATTTTATCTAATTGTGTTGTTTTGCTTGCATTGTTTTGCTTGCATTGTTTTGCAACAGATTTCATTATATGTGAGTTTGAGAGTTGCAGTCTCTTTCAATTTGTTGTTGATGTGTATATCCATTAATGTTATATAATTTTACTTTAATAAATATAGCAACTAAGTTTCTTTTATACAGCCTGAGAAACTACTTGAGACACATCTTTACTGCTTATAATGTGAACCCCTCATTTGCATTTAGTACACATCCTCACAACCTCGAACAAACCAATAGCCCCAAAGCTATCTATCTGCTCTCATCATACATTGGAATAAAGGCCAGTTCATGTTCAAGGTCAAGCCATACAGGTAATGTAACAACCTCGAACAAACCAATAGCATAATCAAAAAAATGTTCACGTTCATGTTCAAGGCCATACAGGTTCATGTTCAAGGTCAGTTTACAAAAAAATGTTCACGTTCAAGTACAATCAAAACCTGAATAAAATCTGAATCAAACAAACATCAGCTTCGAAACATCATTGAATTCCCAAATGCCTTACAACCCACTTCAGTTATACAAAAAAATGTTCACGTTCAAGTACAATCAAAACCTGAATAAAATCTGAATCAAACAAACATCAGCTTCGAAACATCATTGAATTCCCAAATGCCTTACAACCCACTTCAGTTATACAAAAAAATGTTCACGTTCAAGTACAATCAAAACCTGAATAAAATCTGAATCAAACAAACATCAGCTTCGAAACATCATTGAATTCCCAAATGCCTTACAACCCACTTCAGTTATCACGTTTTCAAACTCCGTTATTTTGGTAGTTATTCACGTGATTCTCGCCCACGACGTTCCCCATGTTCTTTGACAGTTAATGGCCACGTGTCGGCGGTTTATAAAACAGTTTCTGAACCTTCGAGAACTGTCTCGCACGGAGAGACAGTAAACACTGTCTCGTACGGAGAGACAGTAAACACTGTCTCGCATGGAGAGACAGTAAAGACTGTCTCGCGCGGAGAGACAGTAAAGTCTGTCTCGCGTGCGAGATAGTAAAGACTGTCTTTTTTCTTTGATTTTTCGATGATCTCCTCTTGAGCTGTATTTGGATATCTATTAGCATTTTTTGACACCTACAGATACCCCCTCCAAAGTGTTCCAGACTTATTCTTTTATAGAGGAGTCTGGGACATTATTGAGCTTGATTGAGTAAATCATAGAGAGGAGCCCATAAAATAGCTTTGGCTCTTGATCTCTTCATCCATTAGTCTATTCAGTTCTTTGTAGAATAGCTAATGCTTCTCCGGCCCTGCGTTTATCGCTTGACCGTTGTTGAGACCTTGAATCGAAGCTGGTATTTCCATATTGATGTTTGTATGTCCATTGAGAGTTCGTCAGGTTATCCTTAAGAATATTCAGATTAATATCCTCCAGAAACTGCCTGTCGAGTGTAGGAAACAGTTTAGACTCGTGTACCTATTGGAGTAGTATGGTCTCTTTTTTTGTTGGTAGAGATGAACCCGTTGGAGTATTCTGGTCTCTTGTTTGTTGGTAGAGATGAACCCGATGATGGAGAGGAAGAATTTTATATTCTATCTCCTGGTCTCTTGTTTGTTGGTAGAGATAAACCCGGAATCGGAGAGGAAGAATTTTATATTCTATCTCCTGGTCTCTTTTTTGTTGGTAGAGATGAACCCGATGATGGAGAGGAAGAATTTTATATTCTATCTCCTGGTCTCTTTTTTTGTTGGTAGAGATGAACCCGATGATGGAGAGGAAGAATTTTATATTCTATCTCCTGGTCTCTTTTTTTGTTGGTAGAGATGAACCCGATGATGGAGAGGAAGAATTTTATATTCTATCTCCTGGTCTCTTGTTTGTTGGTAGAGATAAACCCAAAATCGGAGAATAAGAATTTTATATTCTATCTCCTAATGCAAACGAAACTCAAAGTGGGATCTCCACTTGGAGAATCTGGACGGGTTTGAATAATCCTAACTGTCATAAGGTTTGATTACTCAATTCAAAAGTAAACCTTTCGTTCGCAAAAATGAATCGAAAGGAGATTTTGGTTGTGGTCTTAACTGTAGTAGGGTTTGACCAAGTGGGAGTTTTGAGACGATCCTAACTGTAGGAAGGTTTGATCGCTCAATTTGTGGACCTCTCGTTCATGGAACGAATCGAGAGGGGATTTTGGCTTTGGTCCTAACTGTTTAAAGGTTTGACCAAGATGGGAATTTGAGACGATCCTAACTGTTTAAAGGTTTGATCGTTCAATTTGTGGACCTCTCGTTCATGGAACGAATCGAGAGGGGATTTTGGCTTTGGTCCTAACTGTTTAAAGGTTTGACCAAGATGGGAATTTGAGACGATCCTAACTGTTTAAAGGTTTGATCGTTCAATTTGTGGACCTCTCGTTCATGGAACGAATCGAGAGGGGATTTTGGCTTTGGTCCTAACTGTTTAAAGGTTTGACCAAGATGGGAATTTGAGACGATCCTAACTGTTTAAAGGTTTGATCGTTCAATTTGTGGACCTCTCGTTCATGGAACGAATCGAGAGGGGATTTTGGCTTTGGTCCTAACTGTTTAAAGGTTTGACCAAGATGGGAATTTGAGACGATCCTAACTGTTTAAAGGTTTGATCGTTCAATTTGTGGACCTCTCGTTCATGGAACGAATCGAGAGGGGATTTTGGCTTATATATATATATATATTCCCAATTAGGGTTTACTATCCCTTTTCAACATCTAAAAATAGTCTGAGTTGATACTGGTAAAAACAAGAAGAATTGATTAGAAACATCCAGTTAATGAATAAAAATTTAAAGAACATTATAGCTTAAAAAGCCAATTAGGGTTTACTATCCCTTTTCAACATCTAAAAATAGTCTGAGTTGATACTGGTAAAAACAAGAAGAATTGATTAGAAACATCCAGTTAATGAATAAAAATTTAAAGAACATTATAGCTTAAAAAGTATCGTCACTATATAAATTAAAATAACTGCATATAATTTTAGTAATAAGCTGGAGCAGCAAAAATGTATTAGTAACATCAATTGATAGATGTTTAAATCCATAAAAATGTTAAAAGATTATAATATAATAGCTTAGCATTGGTTGATTATAATTTAGAAACATTAATATCTGATGTTAATAATATTTATAGGGTAAAAGAATACAAGAAATTACATATGGTGAAATTATCAGAACGTTCAGATATATCCTTTAAAATAATCAGGCTATTTCCATTGCAAATAGAAAAGTGACGGAAATAAATCTAAAATTCAGAAAATGTTCATGAATCACTTGAATTGGCATTAACATGCATATCTATTAAAGAAGCACCAACTGAGTCATATTAAAGAATAATATAATAACTTTATCCTAATCAAAGAAGAATTTGTTGGAAATTATGGTTAAATCTGGAATTAAACAGTGAAGGATGACGAGCTGTTATTTTAAAATTTTCAATTAAACTGCTGTGCGTTTGTGAAACGCTGTGCTTAAAGCAATATTTGGCCTACTCCGATGCAAGGATCCCAAGGCCAAACTGCTTCCAGGAATAGCAGTACAGTACTCTGGTGTGCACCAACCCAGTACTGTCAAGATCTCCTCGATCTATAAGACCTTTCGGTCAAGGCAAAAGATCTTCTCGATCTCAGAACCTTACGGTTCAAAACCTTTCGGTTTCAGGGTTCCTGCGGACACAGTTTCTGCAGCAACAACAACACAACAACAACGTCAATCTGACGTTCGTATTCCAAGTTTGCGTGGGTATACCGACGTTCGTATTTTATACTGACGTTCGTATTCCACTCTCGCGAGAGAGTTTCCAGCAGCAACCAAGAGCTGCCCAAGGGCGCTATTTATAGGCCTCTAAGGCCAGCTTAAGAGTCACTAGCAATTAATGTGACCGTTACAATTCTTAATGACAATTAAGATTGTAACATCAATGCATTAAATTGCTCTTAATGCTGTTGTAACTGCTGCATGTAGTAACTGCTGAATACGAGGCAATCAATGGACGCGTTGCTACGAAACACGAGGGTCAAGTCTCAGCAAACCAGACGAACCTCGTTTGACAAACGAACCTCGTTTGACAAACGAACATCGTCAAACAGGCGAACCTCGTGTGACAGACGAACCTCGTCGAACGAGCGGACATAGTCAAATAGGCGAACCTCGTATGACATACGAACCTCGTCGATCGAGCAAACCTCGTCAAACAGGCGAGCCTCGTATGACAGACAAACTTCGTCGAACGAACGAACATCGTCAAACAGGCGAACCTCGTATGACAGACGAACCTCGTCAAACGAGCGAACCTTGTCAAACTACGAGAACGCTAGGGTCACCCTCGTGCGAATACGTAGCTCGTTCGTATGTTGCGAAGCAGCCTGCGAGGCAACCTTCGTGGCGACCATAGTGGCAGCTAACGTGGCGCCAAACAACGCCACCTCGCCCCGATGTGCAAAGTGCGCCTAACAAAGCGCCACTTAGTGCCTCAGCCCGATTAGCCCTAATCCCCGGCCCATTGGCCCCCGGCCCACGGCCCCTGGCCCACGACCCACTAGAACTTATGAGGGATTAATTCAAATAAAACACTTCTCGGCTTGCCGTTGGCAAGCCTCGAACAAGTGACCTTTTGAAACACCAAAACATAAACTTTTCACTAGGCTACTAAGCATTTATGAAAAGTACTTGTAGTTAATATATATATAGTTTGAAAACTCATTTTGGAAAGCAGTTTTGACCAAAAAATCCAACAATCCCCCACAAGTTTTTAAACTAGTGTCGTGTAATGGTGCCGTTGTTTCAATCGTTGTGCATAAGGTAGATGTCGCAAGGACTTGAATCCTCCTTAGACCAACTGAATAGAAGATAGATGCATGGTGTCGCAGAGACTTGAACCAGCACATGTCTAAAATCCAGCGATCACACAATATCAAACTCATCTGTGGTAGTTTTCACTTTGAACCACATTTGCCTTTGCCTTTGCACATTTATGGCCCTGTGCTAGTCCTGGTTTCTGCTAGGGCTCTAGGTATCTTTCCACAAGACATCATAGGAGACAGCCAAATCTCCACCCAGGCATAT